TTATTTTGTCGAAGATATAAGATTGATAACGAATGCGCATGCGCTTGCCTTTATATACTCATGAATACGTATTGGAAAATTACATGTGTATTTTTGCAATAAATCACCTTAATATTAATGACGGTCGAATTTTTTTCTCCTGCACAATCAAATACCTGCTCTACTGGGAGGACAGCCACAGCGGTGAGTCTGTCACGATTCGATAGGTTGGCCCAGTTTCACCTCCTAAATTAGGTCACAATCAGTCGGGGTGGGATTAACTACATATCATTACTACACCCGGCGATACTCTCCCGACACAGATTAATAATGCACGTCTAAATCCCATCATTGAACCGCTGAGATTTAGACGTTCATTATTGATAACCACTGCAGATGATGAGGGACGGTTTGCCAATTTTGTGATTGGCTTAATGATTTTTTTATTTAGTGTCTTAATGAATATACCAGGTGCTTGAGCAGAAAGAGGGGGAAAAATATCTACACGCAATTGCACTGTGTCTAATCCTGTTGCGTAATAATGAAAATTACCTTTTCCATACAAATTGTGTTTTTATAATCGACCTACTAGTTTCCTAGAGTGAGAAAAAGAAAGGGGGACTTTTAATAGAAGGTGGAGCTGTGATAAAGATGACAACTAATTTAGGAGGTTTCCCGTTATTTCTATTCATTTTGTGGGGAAAAACCGTAGCAGCGTTGTCACATGAAAAAGGATTGCTTTTGAAAGGTACTCATATTCCAAATTATGACTCGAAATAGTTTGACCAAATATTGATGCCGTAATGGTGTGTAGTCCCACACAAGTCATGTTGGGGTGCAATGCCTTTCACTGTTTGTGTTTATGTAGAGAAAATCAGTAATTCTGTTGAGTTTTTGTTGATTTCAGAAGCCCCCAATACATAATCTTTCTTACTGATGACATAAATATTTCATTCCAAATAAATTTCTCGACAGTTACCTTTCACGATGTTCACAGTGTATAATCTTATGCTGACCGATGCACAACATGACCATTAATGTGTCAAGGGGGTTATTTTTAGCTGATCATTCCAACAGCGGCACAACATGGGTGTATAATGATACCCTCGAACTTGTAACCCCCTCTTTCATTACCCTAAGGAGTCCGGCCATGATCTTGGCAAGTAGGTTAACAGGGTTAATAGGGCGATGGAGAGCTCTTGAGTCGAATTGGAAATCATCATGCGCCGAGCGGCCGTCCGTGCGACCGTCACGCTTCGTGCTTGTTAGGACCCTCCAGATTTACGTGATTCTTCCCAGAATGCAGACCCTCGTGTAGGCATGTGTCAAACACAGCGGCGTCACTAAGGGGGCATCACCCTCGACCCCCTTCATTATTATTTTTTCTGTCAGCCATTTCTTATAGTCTTCTCTTCACTTGTTTTGTTTGGAATTCGACACGTTTAATGACATTTCTATCAACATCCTTTTTTTTGTTGCAAAATATTTTTGAAACATCGATCGGCAATTTTGATCCGAACTCCCCATTCAAAATTGTCTTAAGACACCCTTGTTTTTCAGAAAAGTTACAGTACGGTCCTTGGAAGAGCAATACAGGATTTAGGGTAAGGGATTCAGACATTTGAACCTTCTTAAGATCTGGCCCTGCATTGGTGTAGCGCTGGGGGCATATAGTTATAGGGGACGGTGCATGTTCAATTGCTTCCTAATCGGATTGCGAATCTGCACGATACTGAAGAAGGAGGGAGCGAAAAAAGAATCGAGAATATTGCGAGGAAATAAAATACAAGAACTATGTGACACGACTCCCCCCTCCCCCCACACAAAGGTTTTGTCTTTTTCGTCTCGTTTCGCCCACCACATTACCACCACCCCCCCCCCCCCCCTCCTTTAATGGGCACAGGATACACTCTAAAAACTGAAATGTTAAATCACCATTTAAAGGGCCGAGGAGTGACCACTCTTTCAAAATGGTAGATTAACACTTTGAACATGCTGGATCCAACATTATAAAGGTTGAATCTAGCAGGTTAAAAGAATCAATCTGACATTTTGAAAGAGTGGTCACTCCTCGGCCCTTTTAAATTGACATTTAACATTTCAGTTTTTAGAGTGTACGCAACTGATGTTCTGATTGAATTTGAACGAGGAAAAAAATCAACACAATTCTAGTCTTGTCGCATTGTGTATTTGTTTGATTTCTTTGCTGGTATGTACCTACCCATGCGCTGATGAACCGAACGTACGTTCAGTAAAATCAAGGTGACTTGCGGATTTAAAGTCATATTGCCAAGACAGAGGTCCAGGTCATCCTGGATTATACCGTTTCCAAGAGGCCAGAACCGTGACTCTATTCACGGCACTACGCCACATACCACATTAGCTTTCTTAAAAACCATATCCGAACTGAAAAATGAAATGGATGAATTTTATATCAACGGAAAGCTTATAAGCCGTAGACTACAATAATATCAATTATATGCCATTTTAGTGTCTGTCAGAGGAGTTTCAGCTCTCTGAAAATTCAATATCTAAGCTTTAAAAACCGGAAGTTGTCGACCTAAAAACTTGCTATCGACTTGATGACATCATCTTATGTGGAGTAGGCATATTCACAGTGACTTTGCATTCATCAAGCACGGTTCATCGCCTAAGCTATAAAGGTGAACCGATAGGGTCCACATCATAATTATGTCGCTTCTGTAATCTCGGAAAATTTGACCCATGTTGACCCGTAATCCGGAGGGGTGCGGAAAATGAGGTTTTAATTTCCTTTTGTGCAATAGGGAAAGGTAAATACTTTTTATTTCTTTATATTTGTATTCTACTTTCATTCAGTTTTCCATTTTAACAAGTTGTATTTTCAGCGGATACGGGTCTTTAACAAAGCAAAAATGAAGTACAAAACTATCCACAAACCTGTTTACCAGCGAAAAAAACACTTGCTTTCTTTTTTCCCCCGCAGAAGGATAGACAAATAATAACCGCCTCGGAACAAGACCAAAATAGATTACTCCGCAGTATTCCGTAAGGGACCGTCCACGCTATACTTTAGTAGGGTTCATTGTTACGCTCTGCACGCATGTGATCGCATGCGAGAACGCAAAGAAACTGGACCACTTCTCTTGGGATATCAGGGGAATATAATGAAAGAAAATAAGGGGAATTAGGTCTGCCCAAGATAAATTCCAGACTCCTTCTTCCCTTCTCGTTTTCATGAAAAGCAGGCCAATGTTTCCATGGGGACACAGCGAGATTAGTGAATTTTCGAACGCAGTTGCAGGCTAATCGCTCACTTGTGTTTACGTGCCGTTCGACTTTGGGGATTCGGGATCCGGAATTGCGATCGGCGATTGATCTGCAGGAGTTAAGATGGAAAACCTGCCTTAATGTTTATGTTTGGAATGGCATTTTTTATTGTACTTGTTTATGAAGCTAATGAGTAGGAAAAGCCCCTTCAAGGAGACTTTATCCCAAAGGGGTTAAGTGGAAATGTCGAGAGCGGAATGAGGCGAATATTTTTGCTGCTGAGCAGATTGACCGATAATAGATGGCATTTATAGAAAAACAAGCGATAAGTTTGATTGGCAGCGACTCGTTAATCCCCACCTACGCTAGGACTACTGTTTTCTTATTTATGATATTCGAAACGACTATTTTGCTGGTCAGATAGAAACAGACAAATAAGTTACTTGAATATTATTGAACAATGTTCATGATTGCATCTGTTGTTGTTTTTTATGTAGCAAATATAGGAGTTAAGAAAAAAGGGATGCATGCACGACAAACTAAAAGAGCTGCATGAATATGTAAAGAATCATATTTCTCTCTCTCTCTCTCTCTACAACTAAATTGTATTCTTCTTGTTCATGTTAAATCTGATTCGAATGGCAGCCATTTTCAGAACTTCTTCAGCTGAAAATTTTCAGCTGACACTCAATAGATAAATGGCATCATTGAAAAATAAAATAAAAAATGAATACAGATGTTTAATGGACACTAAAAGAACGAAGCGCGAAAAGCAAAAAAAAAGTTAAGGAAAGCAAAAATGTCTAAAAACAAGTTTACATCTACTGCTGATTAACTATAAAGCATATACGTGTGAACGTAAGTTGGAAACACGAACTTTAAACAAATAAAATTTGAGGCGAATTGTATGCCCCTTCTTTCTCAACATAGCGTTATTTTCTCTCATTAATCCACCTAGGACGGACCGGCGCCCCCTCCCCCCCCCCCCTTCATCACCCTCACACACGCACTGCCTCTTTCGGTTATTAAAGTTGTGTCTCTCACGCCTTCGTCCGTGCCCCATCAATGAAAAAACCCTATGTTATGCCACTGGTCCTTTATTCTACCTTTACAATATTTGCAACATCTGGACAGAGAGATATATAAACTTAAAACCAGACATTCTGCGGCGTTTTGCCACATTTTAACAAACGTTCTCTTTTGGGAAAGATTACCTCTAATTCCGCCTCGACGTGACTGTCTCGAAAACTGTTGATATATTTTGATAGTTCTCATGTTCGCGATTGACGTAGCTGGTGGCATCGTTTTCACTTAGTTGCGTTACGTTAAATGGGGAAAAGAGGCGCACTATAAGGGTTAGCTGAAGTCGTATTTTGATCGAAATTGAATTAAAAATCCAGTTGTGAAGTCTCTCTTACTCACTTACCCTTATCCCCCCCCCCCCCCCAATCTTTACATTTATGTCTAGTATGTCTGTTAGTCTGTCGGCTCATTCCTTGTTTGTAGTACGTTTCCTGTAACTTTGATTTAAGTTGTAATTTTTTGTTCATCACACTTAAGGTCCATATAAATGTATTGACTCCACCTTTTAAAAAAACACGATGACAATACCATAAAAACTTGCTAAGTTATTATTTTTTAGCGTTTAATGCCTACATCCTGACTGACTGCAATTAGACAAGCCTAATACTATCAATCGTATGACCAGAACTCAACTTAATATTCAATATTTCCCTCTTTCCCTCTCTCTCTCTCTCTCTTTGCAGATTTTGCTTGTGACCGGTATCCTAGGTATAAAATCAGCCAAGCAAAGAAAAAAGGTTGTAAGTAATCAAAGTTCGGGTCCAGCTTTTTTCCCCTTCATTTTTATATTACGTAGGCTATCTACTTGTACCACTTGTGGGATGTAACACCGTTATTATAGCATCAGTGCTGTTTTTCATATAGGGGTCCACTCACATTTAAAAAACAAAATGAAACAATACAATCAAATTTTACACAACTTAACACAACCCCTGTGTAAGGAGTTAACCAACCGATGTTTTGTAAAGTCGTTACACAACGAATTTGCAGTGTATCCTCTTTGATTTTAAGCGCAAAACGATCTCACTCTATCTTATATATTAGAATGTATCCGTAAACACACTCTAGTTCGTACTCTTCGATCAACTTCACAACATTTTAAAGCTGTACACCCTGTTAAAACGAGAATACGTATGGAAACCGATCAGTCATGGCATCCGCTCCTGCTCTGTAGAAATGTCTACCCAATACATTTAGGAATACGCTTTCTCTCGATAATTACCAGAAAGCCTGAAAGGGGAAGTCTATCCTGATATTAAAATATTAAAGTTTGAGCAAGTTCCGATTCAAAAAATAAGAGAGTATAATTTTGTGTAATGTTGCGATAAATCAAACACAAATTGGCAACACTGAAACGCATCTTGCGAGCTCCTTTCGAATTTGCTCTGTACATAAAATTTCCTAAACTTTCATTTTCTTTGTTATTGATGACATATGACAGAATGTTTTTATTCCATACAGGTGATGTATAGAAACACATTCGCAAGAATCATGTTTAGGATGCCTGTATGATAGAATATGTTCTTGAGTGAAAATTACAACAATTGACTCTTTTTAGTACAGGGCAAACGGGATGGGAGCTCGCAAGATAGTCAAAGACTTGCCAATTTGTGTTTTCTTGATCGCAAGTTTTAAAAAAACATAACTTTCTTATTATCAATCTGAATATGCTCAATCTTTCACTTGGTTGACTTCTCTTCTAAGACTTATATACTCGCACAGTAATATTTGCATTTTCTGTTTTATTATTATTATGATACTATTATTATTATTACCAGTATTACTATTATGATGACTAACATTATTACCAATCATTCGGAAATTCTCTCCATTTATATAAATAAATACTTCTATATTCCTCATGATAGATCTTGACATACATGGCGATGTGTATTCTGAGTGCCGTGGTAGCAGGTTTCGGGTTCATGTACCGCATGAGCTATGCCATCTGCCAGAGTTGGGCGTGTCACCACCCCAGGGTGTTCACAGCGAGACCGGTGGATCACCCCTTCCTCGTCACCATGATCAAAGGAGATCCCTACGGCTTTACCAAAAATTGCGTGAGTATTCCATCAAAGCTCTCGCCCCCCCCCCCTTTCCCCTCCTCCTTCCCCCTCCCCTCCATTTGAAATCTATAGAGCGATCACAGCGAGACCCGTCTCGTCTTATTTTATCAGGGGTATATCCTTATTAATTGCCAAAGCCCCACTGCACTACTTGTACCTACTTGCTCCCTCTAATTAGAAAACAACACCTAAGTGGTGCCCGTTGGTCCCCATGATCCTCTTTTTCTTATGTTAATTGAGAGCTGAGTTGATGAGATAACCACCTGTCAGTGACCACACTTGGTGGTCTAATCCCTCCTGGCCAAACTAGTGCAGACGGGCTTTGATACTGCTCTTTGCCTGGGGCCATGTAATCATGATTTATCCAGCATTGCCAGGTACCCATTTTGTACACCTGTGGGGATAGGGCCAAATATGGATAAAATACCTTGTTCGAGGTGTTAGCACCCAGCAAGGATCGAACCCAGTACATTCCGCATGAGATTCAAGAGCCTTCATCATTAATGCTCCCGTGTACATATATATATATATATATATATATCTTTGAGTTATCTATTTCTCTACATATCTCTCCATACATTCATCCATCTATCTATCCATCTATCTATATATTTATCTATCCATACATCCGTCCATCTATCTATCTATACATTCATACATGTATACATCCATCTATCCAACCATCTATCCAAACATACTTCCATACATACATCTGCCTATTCTATTTTATACACACACACTCTTCCTATCTTACTTTAATAGCGAAAGACATAAGTCATGGAACGATAAAACAAACTTAGTTTACCACTCCTAAGCAGGCTCAAGTTATACGTTGTGAAGTTTCTGCACCAAATCTACCAATGTGCAAAATTAACCTAATCATTCATGTTTCTTTACCGAATCTTTATCATTGATAATAAATCATAATCATTGAGATAAAATTATCTTATCGGCCTCATCTTTTCTATTCTGCTTGCAGACAACATCAATTATCGTCAACAGCATTATCTCCACTGTCTTCTTTTTTCATTTTGTTGCTGCCATCTCGGGGTCGGTGGTTGCATGTTGTGGCGGAGTTTGCTGCAACAAACCACAAGTATTCGTTCCGAAGTCGATTCTTCTCGCAGAACAAGAAGTGAGTTTTACCCTCGCATAATTCATTCTGATACATGGTGGGGGGGGGGGTTCTGTCGATCTTCGAGGGGTATAAGAAGCATTACGCTTCACACGAGAGGGATGAGTAATGGTAAAGGATGTAAAACAAATATATATTTATGAGCTTTCTAATTGTGTAATTCTTTCGTAGAAGAATGTTGGAGTAGCAAATTTTTCACTTAAATGGGAAAATCTATCCGATATTATTGACGTACTTGGCAACTTTCCCCTGCCCCTGCGGTTTATTTTGACAACATCTTTTCTTTTACTTTACAGAATTTCCCCGATGTTTTCGACACATATTTATAGCCATTTCCCCTTCGCGAGAATTTGTTACCCCCAATATTTCCGATGTTCCTGCCATGAATAATATACTTGGCCATCTACCACCCCACTCCTCCCCCTTTGGTCAAATTTGAACGCTGTCTTATTCTCTTGCTTGGCAGATATTTTGACAAGTTCTTTGACCCACTTCCATCAAATTTGAAAATGTCCTCGATATTCTTGACACAAACGTGTGCGCTATTTATTACCCCCCCCCCCCCCCCCCACCCCTCCTTATCCGATATTCTTGCTACATACTTGTCCCGACTCTTGCAAGTATATGTTAGCTGCAAAAGTACCTTTGAGACATCAGTTGGGACATGAAATTGCAAAGGCATGTAGTTGTTACAGTTTTAACTACCTCGTTCACGTCTAAATTTATATTAAGACATCGCAGGGAACAGGAGGAAAGATTAGGTTAAGAGAGTGGCGTAGAAAGTGTAGTTAAATCAAGGTAACCTAGTCTTTGCTTCTAGCTATACCCAATTTACACCTTGCATAAGTGACAAAGTGATACCTCGTGAGGTTGAAAGAAGATATCGTCCTTATAACTGCATAAGGAGGCGTAACTCTTAATAAACCAGTGATCTCGGGTTCGCAACCAGGTTATTGCTCGTGTACGGCATTACTTCTAAATGACCTAGTCCCTCGAATACGCTCTAAAAGTGTAGGTCCCCTAGTTTGCATCTTATTTACAAGAACATTCTTACTTTTGAATAAATTTCGGGTTGAATAAAGATCATACCAGGTCACCGATGTTAACCTGGCCTTGCTCATAGCAGCCATACACTTTTCGCACCGGGGAAAACATAGGGAAGGTTATACTTGTGAAGGTGGAAAATAATGACAAGGGATTGCTCGAAGCAACCCTAAATCATATTTGGGAGGACATAATGGAAGTTTTGTTACGTGAAAAGTTCAAAAATATAGTGGTTAATGCAGACTAAGGTACTTCGATCACAAGCTACAAGGAGAGAAGGTGGGAAGGTGGTTTGAAAATTATAGTGGCAAAGAGATAGAGTGCTTGACTTAAGCCGAAGTCATACTAGATGTAGTAGCCGACTTTAAACAACCGCTGATCGGGAGTTAGTTGTTAGGGATCGCAGAGAGGTTTTTGGCAGTCGTTAATGGTAGACGACATTTCTTAGACTGATCCCCGACTTATCGCCGAATGATCCCCAGTGCTTGCCATCAATTACCAGACAAACTAGTTTATTTCGTGTACACCAGTGTGTACAGGGGGAGAGTTGAAGTGTGGAAAAGGTGAATATATAGTTAATGCAGACTGGGGATTGTTGGGGGCTACCCCCATTCACGATACCGGGACGAGGGGGTAGTTTGAAGTGTGAAAGAGTCGAAGAGATATTAGTTAGTCAATATAGATTAGGGATTGCTGATCGTAGCTATACCTCATTTCACTTTTAGAGAGAACAAATGAAAAGGCTGTACGTGACGCAAAAGGGGCCGAGAAAGAGAAGTTTAAACCATGAACACTAGGAATTGTTACGGTCTTTCCCATTTCACACCGGGGAAGACAAGAGGGTTTTTTTTTATAACAGATTTTGTTTAATATGTTCCGAAGATAAATACATTAATCAATGTGGATTGGGGATTTCTAATAACTACCTCCTTCACACTTTAGAGGACAGAAGTGAAAGCGGTAATGTAAAAGTACCGAAGAGAGGGTCGTAATGAATGAAGACTATAAGGTACCTCGTTCACGGCGACGGGCAGGACATGGGAAAAAGTTGTAGTGTGAAAGGGGTAAAGAGATAAAGTTGTTCATCAGTGCAGCCGAGGGTACCGGTCACACCAGGGAGAACAAAAGGAACAACTTTTGATGTGAAATTTCCTAAGAGATAGTAGTTAATCTATGCGGACCCACGCTCTTGACCCGAAGGCTGGTGAACTCTTAGGCAAGCTGGACTGAAATCTAAGACGACATATTGCAGCTCAGACTTCTCCTCTCAACATCGATCGATCAGAGAATAATAACACACCGAGCGTGACAAACAATCCGGGTCGCCCCACGACGCACACTCTGTTTGACACCCATGGAAAACGCAACGTTATCATGTCCATAATGACGTTCGCAAAACGTCTAGGAGACGTTTTATTATGTCCAAAGAACGTTCGTGTTACCTGCGTGCAAGCAGCTTAGATTTCTCCCCTCTATTTAATTTAATTCAATTAATTTTCATCAAAGACATTTAAATTACTTATAAAATATCTGCAGGATTTGAAAGGTGTTATATTGGAGATTACAGCATCCCTAATCTTTTTTTAACAATGTCAGAAATGTTCGAGAACCTTATCTTTAACTTCAAATGTGTTTAAGTCCAACCATGATATGTCACTTTAGCTGTACGACGTCATACGAAAGAAGAAGAAGAAAAAGAAGAAGAATTGGAAAGTTAAGATGATACAGACCTTTACTGAGGCAATCGAGATCGCAAGTTTTCTTTCTTAACTCCCGATGACTCACGTATACCGTATATAGTAAGGTTACTGTTTGAAATATTGATTAATTTGATTGGATGAGCTAGACGTGCACGTGACGGGCTAACCATGTTATATTGTGACGCCAATCGGAGCTTAGAAGTTCTATTTATATTGTACGAATTCGTGATACATAATATCTGTGTCGTCTTTCCTCTAGATAGATATACTGGGATTATGTTGCACGCGTTTCGTTTCCACTCAAGGTTATGTTCTTCGATCATAAGAAACAAAGAATTACATTCGAATGTACCTATTTTCTCTCTCCCTAATCTGTTGCTTCTCACCTTCCCCTTATTTGATCCCTACGTATGCCTATCGTATTCTACTCCTATATTCACTACTCTTTCTCTCTCTCTCTCTCTCTCTCTCTCTCTTTCTATCTATATGTGTCTATCTATTTATCTCATTCTCTCCTCCTACCTTTTTGTTCTCTTTGCTATTCAATTTTGTTGTTTTTCTCTTTCATGTCTTCTATGTCTCCCCTCCTTCTCTCTTCTTCTATCCCTCTCGCTTTCTCCCCTCTCCACCCCCCCCCCTCTCTCTCTCTCTCTCTCTCTCTCTCTCTCTCTCTCTCTCTCTCACACATTTTTTTCTTTCATTCTACAGACCGTGCCCATCAGGATTCAGTCCTCAACAAAAGACAGAGGTAATGTTTTTTCTTGTAATCCGTCATAATCAAAAGTTGTATTCTGGTTATTGATTACTGTTATTGTATTTGAAAAAACTTCTTCTTTATCAAAGCTATGTGCATTTGAGCGACTTTATATCAATGCACTTTAAACGATCAATCTTGCACAGGCTTCACCATCAATTTCAAATTTTATTGATATTTCAATTAATATAACTAAAATTAAATTTATTAGGTTCCTGTATGAAAAGCCTTCCATATTACATATTTTTTTAGAATTTAGATAGATGAAGATGAAGTCATTTATTCACCTATTTGCCTAGATTGATATCATAGATATCTTCTTCTTTTGTTAAATTCATACACCCATGCGCCATCGCCTGCGTCATAATACTATGCATGAACTCTTTTTGATTTCCTGTTATGAAAAATCGTAAACTTACTTTTAGGTATGAAAAAGAAAAATACCCATTTTAAAAGTACCAGCGCTCAACACTTCAAGAAAACTCAAAAATCGTTATTCTGACACAATTTTCGAAACCAAGTCAAGCTCAATAATTCCATTTTCTTATTTAGAACACGAGGAAAGTTGTCGAGTGTTTACGGAATATGACACTGGGATGAACTGGAGGGGTTGTATTCAAGTGATCTATCTTGTCGACAGCACTCCTTCGTGTCGATTCAAGCCCTTGCCTCAAACGAGCCCGACATTTTGGCGTGTTTCGTCATATTTTTTTGAGTGTCTGGGAACTGAATGAGCCCCCAATCCTCCCTTTCCCTGTTTAAACGAGAAATGAGATGGGTCGAAGAGTGTTGGAATTTAGTTATTTTAAGACCCATGAATTCTAATCATATATGTGAGTATTTTAATGTTCGTGCTCTCCTCTCTTTCTATCTCCGCACATCTCTATATCACTTCTTCTCACCCCCCCCCCTTTTTTTTTTTCTCTCTCTCTCTCTCGCTCTCTCTCCGTCTCTCTCTCTCTCTCTCTCTCTCTATCTATCTATCTATCTATATCTCTCTCTCCCTCTCCTCTCTGTCTATCTCCTCACATCTCTTCCCCCCCCCCCCTCTCTCTCTCTCTCTCTCCCTCTCTCTTTCTCTATCTCTCTTTATATTCCACTCTCTTGTTCACTTCTTCTTCCCTTCTGTTTCTCTCCCCCTCCACCCCTCTCCCATCTCGATCCCCTTCCACTCCGGTTCCACCCCTCTATACTTAGGTCAGGACCAGAAACGGTTGCTCAAGCCCCCTTCGTACAGCGGTGACGCCAAAAAGAAAGCCGTTAGCTTCAGCTGTAGAGATCTGCCCTAAACACACTTGGAACTGATCGACCGCTTGAGGTCGCTCTTACAACATCAGCAAAGCAACCAAAGAATGATGATATCGAACTTGAGACGAATAAACCTTTTCTTAATGTATTCAAATATAATGCAATAGTCATTGTAAAGTGCCTTGATACGAATTATTTGATTCACCTGCCGGAAATACATGTACATGTAATTGTATTTTAATAGTTAAAATGCAAATTGCATACATCAGTTGTTGCTAGGTGGGACAAACATTATGGCTTGTCCAACCTAAAGCCTCGGTCACAAATGCCATTACGAACTGCTACGAACGCCGTACGAACGATTTTTAGACATGGAAGTTCGGGAAGACAATGGAAAAACAGGGAGATTCGTACGGAATTATCTTTCGACCGAACCTTTGTGACCGTAGCATAACCACGCGGAATTTATACAATTCGTATTCTGGCTATTGAAATACAATTATTTGTAACAAATGAATGAAATAATTTGTAACGAGGCACTATGTCTTGACAAAGATGTGTGCATTCAATTGGATTACATTACGAAAATGGCCTATTCGTGCCAATTATTCGGAGTGAATGTTTCGTAGGCCGATTGTCTCTGCAGCTCTCTGGATACTAACATTCAGTTAACTGTACAGCCATATTACAGAAGTTTTGCCCAATTCGATCGACAGGGGCGGCCCCAGAGCATTTTGACCTGGGATTAAAAAAAACTCTAAATTGACATGCTAAAAGGGGGAGGGGTCCTCACATATTTTGACGAGTTATGTGTGTCCGAAATCTCTATCAAGCAAAACAAAAAAGGTTGTCAATTTTGGGGCACGTCTGGCAAATCAAAAAATCCACCCCTACACTTGCCAATATGCATCTAATCAAGATGGCTCGACGTGGAGGATGAACTTCTTTGAAGGCAACAGCTAGGGCCCTGTTTCATAAAACTTGATATCAATAACAAGTTACAAGCTACCGTTACAAACTACTGAAATCATGGCATCTGATTGGCTGAGAGCAAATTTGTCATACAAATTTAGCAGTTGTTATAGATAACAAGTTTTATGAAACAGGCCCCAGAACTACTTCATAAATAGATGATTACCAGTTACAGGCTATGTATATTCAACAAGTAAGGATATTCAAGTAGCTGATGTAGCTAGTTTAAGGAGGAAAGGGTGATGAATTAGTGTCTTAATTAGTAAATATGTTGGAAAATGAACTCACAATGAAAAAGAATATTTTTAGGCATCGAGCTAGATGAATGGTTTGAAAAGTGCCAGAGACAAAAAATTAAACTTGAAGATAAATAGCATGGCGTAAAGTGACCTTTTGTGTGGATTAGAGCTTGTGGAAGGGATTGATACATTTTATAGAAACATATACTAGACATATTTTGCAGTCGTTATCAGTTTTCATTTTACGCACATGGGCAGTCTTTTAACCGATGGGGCTATAATAATATCAATAATAATGTACGTGTAGTAACAATAATGATGATGATAATAACAATGATAATCATAATCATAATTATCATTATAATAATTATTATTATAATATCAATAATAGTATTAATAATAATAAAAAATAATTAATGATAAAATATTTTCCCGAAACTGGGTTATATAGCTCCGTCTGCGAAATGTTAATGTAAAAATCAAGTAAGGGAAATTAGACCTCCGTCGATAATTTCCCTTGATTACACGTGACGAGGGCCAAGGGGGCGTCGAATAAAAAAGAATAAACACGATCCAATACTTTTTATTTAAAGCCTGTCTGCACTAGTTTTGCCAGGAGGGATTAGACCTCCCTGCATAGTCACTGATAGGTAGTTATCTCATCAAATCAGCTCTCAATTAACATAAGAAAAAGGGGACCATGGGGGACCAACGGTCATCACTTAGGCATTTTTGCTATACAGGTACAGAGGGCGCAAGTTTACTTATATTTCAAAGCTTTGGAAGTTGTAATATAAGAGGATAATAATAAAAAATAATGATTTTGATGATTCAGTTCCCTTTAACACCCAAATGAACACACGACGCATTTTGATAAGCAGTTGAAAATCGCCTTATTAGAAGGGTTTTTTAATAAATGATGTTGAAGTTTTCGTTCTTAGTACGATTCAATGGAAAGAAAGTTTGTAGGTTTTTGGTCAAGATAATTTATTAAATTATTAAAGGTCTATATTTGAATCTTGAAAATATAGATTCATTCCATATTTTTATGAAATCAGATGCTGAGTGAGAATTTCTAAGAATTCAAAATTATATATTAAGTTATTTAAAAACCATTGTCGACATTGCTTTGTCGACATATTTTCTACAATTTTGTAAATACACCATTCACATTAAGTGTAATTCTTGATTAAGTTTTGCAATGTGTTATGTTTTGAAATGTGCAATAAATAAAAGAAAAATAAAATATTCTTCTCTGACATGGTGAATATAAAGTTATAAGTTGCATGGGAGTACACATTGTGATAAATGAAGCTTTGCATTTTCATATTAGCATTGACGGTTTTGTAATTAACTATCCCTGATTGGCAACATAGCAATTTAAACAAAATCGGAATATCAACCTTAACCCCCCCCCCCCCCCCCCCCCCTCTAAAGTTTTGGGAGCCCAATTTGCCAAAAATTTGATGGCAAAATTTCACTTCAATTGTACCATAATGTGTAACACGATGTCATTTAAGACACACTTCTGCAAAGTTTCCCGCATAAAAATGTGTTTGAAGACAAATATTGAAGAAAAAAGAATACATAATTGGGGTTTTCTGTTTGACTCAGGAAATCCTTGCAAAAATGTGTTTTAAATGAAATCCTCTTTCACATTATGATAACATTTAAGTGAAATGTTGCCGTCAAATGTTGGGACTCCCCAACACTTTCGAGGGGCTTTTAAATAAATTTCAATATGATCATCCCCTTTCGACAAAAGCGAGCATTACAACGACATGATATATGTAATCTGAACATGATTTAGAATTTAGATAGGATATACAATATGCTATTGAAATTGCCCTTGATCTCATTTCGTGAAAGTTCTTGCGATCATGTCAAAAGAAAATAGGAAGGAAGCGAGAATAAAAGCTAAAGTGGTAGGAAGAGGGTATGGCGAGAGCTGAGGGTGGGAGAGGGATAGAGAGAAAGGGAGAGAGAGAGAGAGAGGGATGGGGTAATGAGAGAGCGAGGGGGTAATGAGAGCGAGGAGAGAGAGAGAGAGAGAGAGAGAATTAACCCTGGAAAATAAACTCTGAGGACAATAAGCCAGTTCACGGTTGCAGTCTGAGCATGAGCAGATAAAGGTCATTGCAGAACAAATTGTATAATACACTGAGACGAAATACTGGATACGGGCTCATGAAAGTTATGTAATCATTATTCATTAATGAACAAGCAGTGCATTCCATGATACTCAGGCAGAATTACAGGTGCAAATATTCTTTGAAAAGGGGAAACAAAGGCTATTTATGTAGCACCTGCATCGCTGTAGGAGTGATTATTTCAAAATGTACAAAGTGGGACCTTTTCATGTTTTGAAGATCTGTGGATATTCGGGGTCATTGCAGAGATGTGCTAACCGTGAACTGGTCTATTACCCCACCCCCCCCCCCCCTCCCCCAGAGGACAGTCACCCCCTTAAAAAGGAAGGCCACCCTGATAAATTACATAAGCTTTCACTTTCTAAGTTATTGATGACGGAATAGATTTGTTTCATACATCTGTTGTATAAACAGGGCAAATGGGAGAGGACCCTCCTTTTTTTGTAATAAATTGTTACCTTCTATTAAAACCAACGTATTATCAGGGCAAGCTTCCATTTAAATTAATGTACATCAACACACAATCTACAGCACACACTAACAATCCCTAAAACTGTCATTATTTGAAGACGGACACAAGCAAAATGAAAACAACGTATGTTCCATTCACATACTGTAAAGACAGAAAGCAGACAAATGAACAAACAAACACACATCATCCTCATATTCTTTTTAAAAAAGTACTCTAACACTTCACAAGAAAAGATAAGGGTAGAAATTGCAAATGGATATTGCATACTCAATACACCTTTATTACAATAATTGCAATCACTGATAATTCAGTACAAGCAACATAACGGTAGACATTAGGGACTTTTAGGTTCGCACAAAGACAATGGGGATTGCTACGATCGACGTCCTTTTAATGCACTGCCTTGAATGGACGTCACATGTTTCAGTCCACGCAAATCTAAAAGTCCCTATTCAAGACATCTTACCCACACACTTGCTCCCTTTCTATGTCATGCCTTTGTTTAAATACCAGAAGAAGCAACACATACATCTTTTCGCTGATGCAAGTATATGGTGTTCGCAACATCACAGAGACAAAACAACAATTTTCACTTACTATCGCCCCCGCGAAGGAATGCAGGCAGTTCTGTTTAGAAAACTTTCTTTGCGTTGTTGAGATTTACCCCCCCCCCCCCCCCCACTTCTTAAGTAGACCAGAAAGTTGGATTAGCTCAGAAACATTTGTATTTGCTAGTTCTTCATGCAAAAGCGATTTTGACACACATTATACAATACAGATGTAAGTATTCTTGTATCATAAAACATATAACAAAAGGTATTCCATTAGAAATGCTTAACTTGCAGGCACAAACCCTTGTCAGTCGCTGTGCGTAACAGTGTCTGCGCTCTGAGACTAGGCTGGAAGCATACTGCATAGGCTCTGTACTTTAGCTGCCACAGACAAGGTAGAGAACTTACAAAAAATGACCAAAATTTTGGAAAGGAATGTTCATTTTCATTAAAGAATTGATAAGAATATTATGTGTACAGCTACACAGTACTTATGGTTACTAGCCACTTATCCTTTTCTTTTTATCAGCCTTTGAACATTTTAATCAATATATTTTCAATAGTGAAAAAGAGTACCCTACACCATGTCTAATCTACTTGGCTCAAAGATAAAGTTGAGTTCTGGTCATGCGATTGCATTGTGAAAGAAACTGTGATGAATCAATCAGAAAAGGTTGATCCTGTAGCAATTTTGTAGCATATAAGTATTGGTGTGTTCTGCAAGGTTCTGGAATCATCAAATGATGAGAAATTTAGCCATTCTTGGTAAAAAGTAACGAGCACTGTACACAGAAAGTTGTATATGGGACTACACAAACATGTGATGTAAAAATGAGGCCCACATTTTTAAGCTGTTACATGTCGTATTTAAAATCTGAAGTCATTTGAAGAGCCATGCTTTTCAGGGAATGTTTTTTTCTCTGATGTTCTTCCACATTTGTATTAATAACAATGAAAACGCTCACAAAACATTTCACTTCTTCCCAGAACTCAACCTTGACATTCTGACGGATCTCCCAAATCCTAGTTTCATGGCAGCACCCAAATCTGATCACATTACTAAGAGTAAGACAATCATGTAGAAGTGAAATAGTACAGGACATATCTTAATTGTAATTGGATTTGCCATGACAATTGCATTCTTGAGGATTTGCAGAGTTGAGATGCTGACAGACCAACGTGCTTAACTCGATCCAACTCCAGGGAAATAAGACTTTCACCATCATCAATAGATCTTCAATATCAAACATTACAGTTCCCAGTTCTTGAGATTAACCAAACCCTAGACAAGAGAGACTCAGCATGCCTCTCAACATAGATCCCTTTGCAAAATTTATATATTAAAAAAAAAAAAAAAAAAAAGCTGCAATAACAAAGTGCATGGTGGGCTTAAAAAAGCATAAATAATATCACGAGATCAGAAACAGAAGGTCTCTTGATGCCTACAAAGTCCATATCGCCCTTCTGTTTCTCAAGATAACATAATAGAAAACACAGCATCACTCTTTCCTGTCTAGTTCTACATGTGTATAAACAGATGACTACTATCATACAAGCTAACTGGATCTACTGCTGGACGTGACGCTAGGGTTTCGCTGCTCTTTTCGACGCAACCAGTTCCCTGAGATTGCTTTCGCTGTCCTTCAATGTTCGTTCAAGGTAGGTCTTGTTACTCTGTGACCAAAAAAAGCAAGAAATAGTTCATTAGTTGAAAGGAAATCAGAGCAGCATTCGATAATGATTAATGATCAAACTTTTCACCCAGGGAATCCTCATCAGTATCAATGTTGTTCTTCCTGAGGACCCTGCAATTATTATTACCCCTGCAATTGCAAGGTACATGTACCCATTTACACCTACCGGTAGGGGGAGAGTGGCAAATATGGATTAATGTCTTGCCAAAGGACATTAGTGCTAGGCTGAGATTTGATCCCTCAACCCTAGGATCGAGAGTCAAGTGAATGAACCACTATACCAAAAGACCATAATAGGAATTGCAGTTGGAGAGTAATGGCAACTACAGGAAAAGTACGCAATGGGACCAAAAATAAATTTGCTGACCATGACAACTGAATTCTTGCGCACCCTTTAATTCTTTCACACTTTTACATTCAGATGAGATGAGTGATTTCACAAATCTATAATTTTTCTCATTTCACTCAAGCATGGCTCAATATCTCGGTGTTAATCGACTTGAGTCACCGTCATCATCTTCATCGTTATCATCATCAATAAATTTAACTTTGTTAATTAAATTACATGAATCTGATACAATTAACATGAACTTTATGTAGGCATCGCAGTTGCTATAGTTACCTGCACTTTCTGTACTTGTTTCTCTGCCTCATTGACTCTGCTTGCAAGTACCGATTGAATTCCCTCCATGTCTTGCAATAAGAACCTACGTGAATAAAGTACATAAAATAGATTAAAAGAGTGTATCCTATTGCCTGAAACTTGAACATGTGATTATGTCCAATAGCAATGAAAACCATGATAGTGTGTTTATAAAGTGCATGGTAGAGAAGACCACATGCATGCTTCATAGTTCATATAATGTCTCTTTTGAGCCAGAAGGGTGTTATCAACTATTATTAATTATAAATGTGCTTCAACACTCAGAAGTTAATGGCCCTTCTGGCTCTGAAGACAATAAAAAGTCAACTGAGCAGGAACTGATTCTGTACTAATATTATTACATGTATGTCTGTATATATTGATTGTGAAAAATCAAATATACTGACCAATGTAACTAAACTAAGGAAAACTCTCGTCTACAGAGAAGGATTTTTACATTATGCATGTTAAAAAATGAAAAATTTAGAAAAAGGAGGGAGTGGTGTATAAACCACTGCACAGACATATTACTTATAAATTCTAAATCAGTGTTACCTACATTCATTTTATAAATCTCTATGCTACAGGGTCTTGGGCAAATACTTGTAATCTCATTGATTTTTTAATTTTCAACTCGGGAATGGCATTCAAACTAGCAGGGAAAATATACTTGGGGCTGGGGGCAAATTAGCCCCCAAAATGCCAAAAAGAGCCCCCGAAAGTCTTAATACAGCCCAAAAAAACTCCATAGAGTTCAATGCAAATAAATTAAAGAGTGTTATTTCCATGCAAGAAAGCTTGAAAAGTAGCCCCCCAAATTTGTTTAATATTTTTTTTCCTTGCAAACTAGACGTTAAACTGATAATCTTACATTCTTCCTACTCCTTCGAAGACCCTGGTTTCTCCGGGAAGGGCGCCCAGCTCTGCGGCCGTCAGTCGGCAATGCTGCTGCTTTCTCTTCAGCTGCTCCACCTGCATGTCAGCTATCTTGAGCTGCTGCGTCGTCTCAATCATACGGATCTGCTGCTCCTGGAAAGCCTGAAGGTTTAGATGTTTATAAGCAATGGAAGAATTATTTCACTTGGATAATAAACAGGATAGTAATAAAATCAGTGGGGTGTGTTTCATAAAGCTGTTTGTAAAGTTACGCATGACTTTAAGAACGACTTGAATATGAAGTGCCAGATAGGATACCAAAAGTTTTCCTGACATTTTAACAAAGTGTGACTGTATTTCTCATAATCTCAATTAAATTGTAGCCGAAAATTATAGTTACATTAAAAATGTTTGTTATAATTACATGTAGAATGTTAATCTACATCTGCACAGTTCAACTTTAGTTGATGCAGTTCAAAATGTTTGAGCATCCCATTTGGTTTTTCATATTAAGGTCATTTGTAAAGTCATGCGTAACTTTACGAACAGCTTTATGAAACACCCCACAGCAGGTCTCTCACCATAAAGAACTTTAGCTTACATAAAGCGCACACGCATAACGTTGATCCGGTCTCAGCCTCATTTTCCTAAATTGGCGCCTACAACTGCCCTTCTAAAATTCGCTAACTGCCATTTGCTCAACTTATAAGATATTAGTGCGAGGAGAAAGCTTGTGTGTTTCTGTTTGATCTGATACCAAAATCATGATATTCCAGTCAAACCTTCTGATTTTTTTACAATTTTTTCCAAAGTTTACTTAAGGTTAAGTTTGTGTCAGTTATGTAGGAAGTGCATCACCTGTTTAAAGCATGACATGTCAGTGACTTGGTAACATTGTTGAAGGTTGATTTAAAAAACTGTAACTGTTGTATGAAATGTAACTTATTATAATTCCTTCTACTGTACTTACCCTCTAACATGCAAAAAATCCTGAAAAGATATCTATGGTTTTCTTTGAAGGCTTCACTGTGCGGCACCCTCTAACAGTAACAGTAAATTTTCCTAACTTATGAACTATTTTTGGATTTTCCCAACCGTTCTTCCATGAAAAAAAAACACAAGACAGGCTTTTAAAAATCTTTCAACATTTAAATGTCTTGAATGGTATAGGTCTACATGTATAGAGCCAACTCATTGCTTTGTGACGATTTAAATTCACCTAAAATTTAATCAAATGGTAATAATATAGTTCAGAGAATTCAAAAATCAATCAGATCAGTTTTCCCCAATTTTTATCATTAATAATGATCTGTTTTCACTCAAACTTTCACATTATCTTTAAGTTTACATCTATCATTGTAGTCAAGCACTATCTTGGCTAGACCGAAAGCTTCAGTCTCTATACCGTCGGTTGTTCCACTGAGACTACGTCTGGCTCCACTAGACCTCCGGTTATAGAGACAGAACGATCGCCTATGCCAGCCTATGTTGAAGATATCACGGCTAGATTTGAGCCGTTAGGCCCCTCCCACAAACACCATTACGAACGCCATTACGAACGTGTAGATGGCGCACAACTGTGCGCCATCTACACGTTCGTAATGGCGTTATCACAGTTTTTCCTTCATAATCATTTTTGCCTTCGGCGTAGACTAGAAGGGATGAGATTGACGGCAGCGAGAGTTTAACACGGCTTGCAAGATTTTCAACATGGATGTCGATTTTGACCCATAATTTCCTTAAAAGGGACCATTAAACGGATTATTTCAATCAAGTTAGTAAGTGGAACCGATGTATTATAGCCTAGGCCTAATGTAAAATTGGATATGCACGAGGTAAAATGACATTTTGGGGATTTTGGGGCATAACAATACGGCCGTGGCAAGTTTGTTCATGTTTGTGGGAGGGGCCTAACGGCTAAAATCTAGCCGTGATATCTTCAACATAGGCTGGCATAGGCGATCGTTCAGTCTCTATAACCGGAGGTCTAGTGGAGCCAGACGTATAGTCTCAGTGGAACAACCGACGGTATAGAGACTGAAGCTTTCGGTCTATATCTTGGCATAATTGTCTCTCATCTGAACAATGTTACCAAGTCCCTTTAAAGATTAAGTAATAATATATAATTACGCAATTGGCATCTAACTTAAATTCAAAACCTCTTAAGCGGATCAGCCAATGAGAGCACGTTATTTGATTTTCTCTCAATGCGTAAAGTTCTAGAACTACGTGCTCACACAGTGCAAATGACAAATGTGCGTAGATCTAGGTCTAGCCCCCCCCCCCCCCCCCCCCCCCAAACTTAACTGTCTTATTCTTGGGTGTAAAAATAATTAGCACATGACCAAAAAAGATTGAGCATCTCAAATTATCACTCAATCATTGCTACACTACCCACTCACTCAGACAGACATGTGCAGGGTGTACGTTAGTGCGTGTATGAGGTCCATACCGTTTACAGTAAGAGTTTAGACATCATGCATTGCATTGTTGCACTGCCTAAACTAGGGCAGCTACAGTGCAGTGCAGTGTAGCTAAGCCATACCTACACCTGCCATCAGGTTGCCCGGAGTTACCCCGGTGATTTCTTCAAGAAAAGTCCCCTCGTGCAGCTGAGGCTGATACCAATGCAGGTATCAGATAATAAAATGCTCTATATACAAATTTGTTAAGACATTACTAATAAAATTTGAATATATGTTATTCTTCCATAACCACTGAATCCTTACGGAGAGCTAATTTCAATAAAAAGTAGTTTAAATTTACCTTTTTCAGTTCAAGATCGACAGCCATGGCTACTTATTTTTCAACTGCAGATTTACGTCCAATAATGAGTGGCATGAAATGATCAACAGAGGGCCTGCATATCTGTGCAATCCAAAGAGATTCGATCATACACAGTATGTCCTCCGTAGGAGGACTAGAGGGCCAACTAAAATCGTGACCTTTGACATTTCATAGGTTTTGCATTGGATGCATTATGGGGGTTTTGTCCGATTTGAACGACGGTTTTGGAGGGTCAATGAATATTCATGAGCAATGACGTAAAAAATACGCCAACTACTGTTTGTTGATTGGCCATCGACAAAATGTTTTATGTATTAGGTCATGCATAAAACATTTTTTGCATTCCCAGAATTCCCTACGATTTGAGCACGAAAATGGCGGTTGTATGAACTGCAACTTTCAAGTTATTCAATTACGAACAATGAAACATTTTTCTTTTAAGTGAATTTCTATTTTAATAGAAGTTTGTCAAGTACATCTCAGTGAAGCAGAAAATCTTCAGGCGAACATTGGCATCGAAGTGATACCCTATGATATCAAGAAAAGTAAGTAAAGATCAATTTTGTGTGAAGGTCTCTGAAATGATTGTGATGTGTTCGTCATTGCAGTGAGCGGCTCTCCGCATTGTCACAACGTATTACCCGGTTAACCCCCTACCCCATCCTCTTTTATTTCTTCTGACCAAAGAATATTAACTGATTGAATGAACCCTAATTTAAGTCATCGACGGTAGTATTTTCAGAAACAATCAGGATTTTACCGTAGATTATTTCATTAGAGCACATCTCATAATTTTAAGTTCAGTTCATAGCTTGATTTCCGATAGTAATCGGTCGTAGATGTGGACCTGTTGGAGACTGCGCAAATGGCTCATTGCTAGTCCAAGCCGATGAGATCTCGTCGAGCGGTTTATGATCTTCAATCCGCCGGTTCTAGCCGGCTGTAACACTCCACCAAGAAGCGACTGCGTTTCCTGAGCTGGCAGCCTAGGGCTAGGCTAGTATTCATAGCATAGTCTGGCCTGAATTTTCTGTCTCTTTTGTTCGTTAGCCCTTGATTTGGGTAGGGTCGGCTCCTCTCTTCAGCCGACCCTACCCAAATCAGAGGCTAACGAACGAAAGAGACAGAAACATTCGGGCTAAGCAAAGCCTAAGGCTAAGCAGAGCCTAGGGCTAGGCCTATATCTAGGTCTAGTCTAGATCTAGCACTTAAATATAGACCTCTACACAGCATTTAACCCCGCATCTAGTATAGGCCTAGATCTAGGGCTAGATTCTAGGCCTAATGCAGTAATAAAGAAAGACTAAATAAATGCCTGGCGTAGGTGGATTAAATAAATGATGTGGAAGTTATGGAGAGGGGGGGGGGGGGTGCACAATCATTCTGTGCCCCCCTTTTCAGATGTGGCATAGGTCTAGGGACGGGTCTAGATCTAGGTCTAGAGCCACCTACTAATAATACTAAAAATAGGCAATTAGATCTAACAAGTTAGATCTATAGCTTGTGTTATGCCATAGCAAAGAATTCCATAGCCATGGGTCTAGTCTCGTGTTTGCTCCACTAGACTAGCCTAGTCGTGCACATGTGTCATTATTGTGATCCAGGTCCAGATTCAGCTTAGTTTGAATCTAGATCTAGATCTACTACTAGGCTAGATCTACCATCAACAACAAAAACAAAAGAAAAAAGGTGTCTCCTCCCCCCCCCCCCCCCCCCCCCCCCCCCCCTCTTTCCCTGATTTTGCTCTTACTCATGTTATTGTGCCTTGTTTGAAATAATTAGTTTATTTTCAGGATTTTATGCCACCCCTTTTAGTTTTATGTTGGTGAGAATTCTGGATCCAACCCTACATATGACATGGATATTTCTTTCTTTATTAAAGGACATGAACAAAGTTATAAACTGATAACTAATGCATGCATTTGATATTAGCAGGAACCTTACTAAGTTTATGTTTTCTTTAAATTGTAGATCCTATGGAACAAAGAAGCAGATAATGATCACAGAAGTGCAACAAAGAGCACCAGGACCTGATCATCAAATGTTATGGTGTAGATCTAATCAAGAACAGGACACCTAAGTTGAACTCTGGCAAGGTATGTTTGTATGAAGTTCGAAAATATTCAGGCTGTATAATCTAAGCCCATGCGAACACCGCACTCGACTTGGACTATATACAAAGATTTGGGGAACTGTCATCTTGTGTTGCATTATATCTTGTAATTCTCATTTATTCTCTAGCTTTTTATTTAGGTGACAAACTATGGTGTTGCTACAGTTTATTCTCTCAGCATATTAAAAGACGTACTCAAAGGCATTTTTTCCTAAATATTACATTATATCTAACAAACTTTTGTTCACAAAAGTCTAGCAAATAATAACTTAAAATAAATTGGAAATACATCTAAACCTTTACTCTTCTTTTCAAAAAGGGCCCTATCAGATAGACATAAGTTTATCATTTTTTAATAAAATTAAAATGCAAGACCTAAACAAAGTGGGAAGGTATAGATCTATTTTTGAAAATCCAATGTAATGCAGCAGTTTTAATCTTATTTGATTTCTCCTCTCTTTTTGTTTTTATTATGCAGGTTGTCCCTTGCAGAAGGTTTGATACCCAGGCTTCTTTTGTACAAGTCCCTAGTCCACCCTCATCTTGAGAACTGTTCCTGTGTCTGGGATCCCTACAACATCTCAGATGTCCAGGACGCTACTTCACAATGGGGACCACAAGTGAACCAGCAGTTTGACTGAGATGATCAGCACCTTTAGTTGCCTACTATATCTACAACTACAAGGCACTCTGCAAGAAGACTGGGAATGGTGCACAAGATAGTCGATGGTCTCTCCGCTCTCCCTTGAAAATTTTCCCATTGCACTACTTATAGCTACTTGCGCCCTCTATATAGCAAACAATGCCTAATCGGTGCCTGTTGGTCCGCCCTGATCCTCTTTTTCTTATATTAATTGAGAGCTGATTTGATGAGATAACCACCTGTAAGTGACCTTGCAGGGTGGTCTAATCCCCCAGACCAAACTAGTACAGACGGACTTTAACAAATCACGAGCAGGAAGTACCATGACATGACCCTCCAGTTGCACCAAGCCAGAAGCGACATAGACAAGTTTGTATTTGCCCAACACTCTGTCCCAAAGTTAATGGAACTTACTTCCAGCAAATATAGTGCATGCTGACAGTCCAGAGAACTGCCAGGGACTACTTCTGAGGCACTCTCCTTATCCCACTTAAAAACAGTCTGTCTTCCTCACACCACTTGTAATCTTTAGTATTAATTCATCTTCGTGATAGGCTACAGCGCCTTTTGAAGATTACCAGAAGAAGAAGAAGAAGATATATCGAGGATCATGAAAGTAATCATTTGTTCTTTTAAATGCGTGTACATGAAACATAGTTTTTTTATATTTAATCTTAAGTCAAGTTCTGACAAATATATTAGGGATGCTGAACTGGATAGTAAATTGAAGGGGGGGGGATAAAATGATGTAGTTCAATAGTAATACTGTAGTAATGTAATTAATAACATTAATAATAATAACAATATTACAAATAGTAACAATAATGACAATGATCATGATAATAGCAGTAATAATAATGATAATACAGGTAGTAGTAAAAACAACAATAATGTCCAATGTAAGATAAAGTACTCGTAAAACTCAGTATATACCTGTGCTTTACATAATAAAATAGCATGTTGATATTATTGATTTTTTTTCCTCAAAATCTACAGTAAACTTTTACAACTGAAAAATTTGAATTCAAGAGACAGCACCCCCTCCCCCCTCCCCCATCCTTTTGTCATCCTTTTGTTGATGTCATGTTGGATTTAAAAAGATCTTTATAGAAACAAAATATGTTGATAAATGAGTTCATAGATGTTAATAAATTAGTTAATACTGCTTAATTCTGTTCTTTTCATTTTCTTATTTTGTGAAATATATGTGATGATGCTGGTGATTATGATGATGTAGGCACTCTGTAATGATAATGCTCTATGACTGAGGTGAGATGGGGGCTGATGCAGTCTTGTGTAGAATTGAGTATGGTGTTCGACCATTTGATGTTTGTTTATATCTGGCATCAGCGAGATAGATTTAACCATCTTTCCTAATGAGAGAGAAAGCGGAAATGTGGCAAGAGAGTGGACAAGACTAATGTATAAATATAATATAAAAAATGGTTTACAATAAAGATGAGGGGGGGGGGGGTTAAATAAAGAATAAGTCAATGCCAAAATGATGAAAGCATAGGTAATTGGGGTGTGGATGGGGGGGGGGGGGAGGGTAATAGAGCCTATGGAAATGTCAATATTGGAAGGGGTCCCTGTATTGAAAATGTTACTGATGGGGGGGGGGGGGGCAAATTTAAAAAATATCAGTGGCGACGAATGCAAGAATAAAAAGAACGAGACAAAATAGAAATTTCATTTGGGATGGGGCACAATATGAAGATCATTAAAGTCGAGGTGAGAATGATTCATTATTTGGACACTAAAAATATGAATATATCACTTGTTGAGTGGGCTAAAGGATCAGTGCAATTTTTCTGATTAAAAAAATATTTAAGTTAATAAACGAACAAAACAAAAAAGGTAAACAATGAATTGAGGTACCACAGTGAAATGGGGTCAATATTTTTGCCTTTTAACTGAACTGAATTTTAAAAATGTACTTTCCATCCTGGTGACAGTGAAGTTTGTGGCCCCAACTAAGTCAACCATTTAAAAGTTTATTACCCCCTCCCCCCCCCCCCCCAACACACACACACCTCCCCAACTCTGACCTTTTATTGTTCTACATATTCGGCCCAAGGATTCTGTCGAGAGTAACGCATGCGCATTGTCTTTTTTTCATTACGATAATATGCTAATAAGTGGAAATGAGCTCATGAATATTCCAAATTTTAATTTACATATTTTACGCGCTGCGCGCAGTCCAAAATCCCCAATTCGCTGGTGCACTAAAAATTTGTCGTCTTCATAGGATAATACACGATAAGTGGAAGCAGTGTGCACT